ACGTTTCTCCGATTGCAGATGACTCAACCCTGGCAGTCAGCATAAAGCAGAAGCAGGACCCGTTGCGGTATCAGCCTGAGTTTGAATCACTACAGAATTTCTGCCTTCCCGACCTACTGTTCAGCACAGCAGGTTTGTGTTGGCAGCTACGGTGATTTTTTGCAACATGAGTGACCTTAGCGTATGATTATTCGTTCTGCAGGTTTGTCCAGTGAAGCGCATATCACTTCGACACATCAGGAAAGAGATGGAATGGTCAGTAACGAACCTCAGAGGACGACTTCGACCCCCGAGCCAGTCGCTGATAAAAATGAGAAGATTGAATTCGAGTCACCCGCTATACGGAATACTGAGAAATCAATAGCAGCTAGTGGCAGTGGCATCGCGGATCAATCAGAGTTGCCAGAGAAACAAACTTGCGAAAAACAAGTACCACTTTTGGGAGAAAGCGAAGTGACAAATAACGATACGGGAAATGTTTCAAGGCCTACTCTCGCCATCCAAAGCGGTAAATTATAAACATTGAATTGGCATATTTGTCTTAAAAATAGAACAAATATTCAGTAGATTTGACCTAAATTGCACTGCCTGTCAGTTAGCTTGCTGGCGTTTCTGCGGTTTGTTTTAGCAGCTTAGTGGCTCATTCGACGGAATTACTTGGCATGACTTTGAAGGAAATAAAAGTGTAAAACATGAAAAAAAGTTAAAGATAATGATCATGGGGAAAAAATTTGTTTTGAAAATCCGTCTTCTTTCGAACGGAAAAATATAACATGAATTTCACAGGGCGATTAAAAAGCAGTTTTTAGTTTGGTATTATTTCTGCAGACAACGAAGAAATTCGGGCATGCTTTTTGGTCCTTCACGACGGCCACATCTTTCTGCAATAATTGGTTTCTTGATAACTCTGCTGAATTTTGGCATCATTTGTTAACAGAGGTACAAAGATAGGGTAGATAATTAAAACGAATGAGATGGGGTAGATAAACCGTTCCCCCTCCCCGCCGCTCGTCTCTGTTAATTCAGAAACCATGAATTTACCAAAATATGTGCTGATCGACGTATTTTATTTAGCTTGGAAAAAACATTCACGTGCATAAAAATTGTTTTTTTTTTTTTTGGGGAGGGGGGAAGAGGGGGTTCTTTTTCATCTTCCGCTCTTATATTGAGTTTTTTCCAGGTCTGATACCCCCTCCTCCTCCTCCTCCTCCACCACCACCGCCGAGCTCCATCACCGCACCAAAAATCGCCGTAACATCCGGCGATGACAGAGCAAAT